TATAATATAAAACTAATATAATATCAATAAAATAATATAAAATAATGTTTAAAAATATCTATAATATTACAATATTAATATCTCTGAATAAAAATAAAGTTTATGTTAATATCTAAGAATAAAAAAATAAAAATTAATTTGTTAATAATTTGAGATAAATAAAATTAGTGTTTTTTTTTTTTTTTTGTAAATATTTGTAACTTTTACTTTAAAATGAGTAATGAAAATGAAAAAGAATCTTTTTATTATAAAAAAAAAAAATTCTTTTAACAATGTTATGATAACTTTTCTCTCACAGGATTGGCTAAAAATTTAAAAAAATAAAATTGTATATACTGTATAACTTATATTTTATAGCTAAATAACACATTAACATAGTGCTCCAGATTCTAACGGATCTGTTTTCCTAGTTTATTTATAATTTTAGATAAATTAATACAATAAATTAGAAAATATCTTTATATAAGTTTAAAGCTATGTTATTAATATTGATATACTATTTACAAATTACAGAATTATCAGTAAATTTTTTTTATTAGAACAATAGCTAAAACATTTTAAAATGCACTGATTTTATAATAAAATTACTATGTATGTTACATCCTAATTACTGAATTTAGCTCATGAAAAATCTGATTAATTTATATATATTAATCAGGCTAAATCTAATAAATAACTATATATTTTCTTGGAAGTTAAGCTTTTTTTAATATTAATTAATTGAGATTAGTTATAAACTTGAAAGCCTAATGCTACATTTTTAGCAACACTCTGATGCCATTTATATAAAAGAGACATCTTTATATAAAAAATTCTGCATATATAAATCACTTTTAAAAAAAATTTTTTTTTAAAAAAAAGGTTTATTTTTAAACAATTTTTTTTTAAAAAATTAGGTTTTTAAGCTATTTTTTTTAATAATATAAAGCTTGTTAAATATTAACATTCTTTCAATTATTTTTTAATTATTTGTTCATATTCAAAGAATATGCTAATTGCCTTGAGCAGGACTATTAGCTCTAGAGTCATACCCTAATGGCTTGGCAATTGTGTCTAGACTTTTTTTCTTTTAAATCAATTTTTGGAGAATTTATTGTCATGAGAATTTTTTTCTGAATTTATTATACATATATGAACTGTTTGAAAGTACACCTCAATTGCCTTGAACAGAACTACTGGCTTTAGGATTATACTCTAACAGCTTAGTAATTGGGTATAAATATTTTTTTTATTATTAAATTTACCACCTACTAGTGCTTTTTCTATTAAATTTATAATATGTCTTTTTTTTTGAATTTACTACTATATCTTTTATTTTTTTTCAAATTTACTGCCATGTCTTTTTTTTTCTTCAAATTTACTGTCATATCATATTTTCTTTGAATTTATCATTATGTTATTTTTTTTTCTCTTTAAATTTACAATGTGAACACAAACTATATGAAGGTGTACCCAAGTTCTTTAGAACACTAGCTGAATTTTTTTTTCTTAGTTTTTTTTAAATTTATCATTATATTCATTTTTTTTTTTCTTTGAATTAATTGTCATTATGGTTGAAATTTTATACTAACTCAGATTGAATTTGAAATATTACATGTTGTGTGACATTCTGCCTAAATAAAAACTTGAAACACATGAATTCTCTCTAAACATGTTAAAAAATGTCTTCATGAAATAAAAGTATCAGTAAAAAATCTCGTGTTCATAACAAGTCTTGGTATAATTGAAGTGTTCATAAAAAGCTTATAGTGGTTTATTATTTTGAATGTATTCAAAATATAAGAGTGACTGCAAGAAAATTTAAGATTGAACCCAAACAGGTTTGTGACTAACAATGCAAGAAACAGGATCTTTTAAATGCTGCACTTTATCTTTTAATGCTCAATCATGGTCATCCAGCTCAGTACTCACTTTTAGAAGAAAGGCTATTTGAATAGGTTGAAATTTTTTATAAAAAACAGATGGCTGTTACATAAAATATGGTTGTTACAGTGCGAGACACTTAGAGATGAAAATAAAAATACATCTTCTTCAAAAAGTAATAGAGAGTCATATAAAAGTAATACAAAAAAAAAAGGTCACTATTTTTAACTAAATCAGTCTATTACAAAATAGCAGCCTCTTTTTTTAAAAATTATTTATTTACTTTTGTTTTATTTAAACTTAAAGATAACATATTTTTATATAAATGTCAGAAAATAAGATATATGTCATAATCCAAATGATTGAAAATAATGCATGTGTTTATTTTACATGAAGGTACAATGCATGTGATTGTATTATTTCCAGTGTTTTAACTTCCAATTTTTAAATTAGGCTAACAATCTTGTTATCATTAGATAACTAAGCAGAAATAAAAAAAAAAAACACTTAGATATTTAGAAAGTTGTCACATCCGAATAATCCAAATATGAAGGTTATGCACTTGGAGTTTGTTGACTATAATAATTTTTTTTTTCTTACTGTACTCTTTATATCATTTTTTGAATAAGAGCACCATATAGGTAATATGCTTGGTTAGTGCCAAAAATAACAAATAAGATGATATATAAGTGCTCTGATAAGCCAGTAAAAATGTTTAAAAAAAAAAAAAAATCAAAAAAAAATCAAAAATGGTTTAACAAACTTTAAACTACTCTAGGCCTTTAACCTACCTCAAACCTTTAACTATTCTAGACCTTTAACTATGCTGAAAACAAACAACTATAGAATCCTTTAAAAATATAATAATAAAAAAAGAAAATTGGCTCAAGAAAAGAAAAGTATTTTAAGAAAGAGCATTTGAGAGAAGTTTATTAAACAAGAGAGTAAGTTTGAGAAAGAAAATGAGTTTGAAGAAAATGAGATTGAGAATGAAAGTGAGTTTGAAGATGAAAGTGAGTTTGAGGAAGAAAATGAGTTTGAGAAAGAAAGTGAATGCGAAGAAGAAGAGAAAAGGATACATGTACACTTACTTAACATAGCTCTTGAATAGAAGAAACAACTAAAAAAAAAGAACAATTAAAGAGATACCAAAAATGACATATTATCATAAATATGGTGCCTCAGGTATATTTGCCAATGATGCCAAGGGAATCACTAAAATCACAAGTTTTTTTGAATCTTTGATACCCTTAGCATCTACTAGTTTTTCTGGAATTGTGGATAAGTCTTCAAGTTTTTTGAATATATTGTTTGATGTCTAACACTTTCTGTATTACTAATATATTCTTTTTGACCAAATTAGATAATAATAAAATAGTACCTGCCATGCTTAGTGAAAGAATTAGACAACTTTACAAAGACCTTTTGAATAATAATAAAAAATTTTAAAGCTTCTGAATATAATGAACGATGAGCTATTTATGAGTATTTTATTCAGTTACATAATGGTAATAGTAAAATGAAAGCAAGTGAGAAAGTAGTAAATATGGTCTATATTTCTTTAAAACCATCTTCTACTAAAAGAATCCATTTGCTAGCTAAATTTTATTTGTTCTATGGATCTTTTTCTATTTCTCATCATGGTAAATACTCAAAATACAAGCGATTAATAGATGATGAAGACATTGTATTAAAATGTTGACAATAGATATATCAAGAATCAGGTGTAAATAGTATCAATCCAAATCAATTTAAATAGTATATCAATGATTACATTTTATATAAATTTCTTGGAGGAATTAAAAAATCGATTAGTATTTGAACAGCAAGAAGGTGGTTAAAAATTTTAGGATGTCAATACAAAGAATATAAAAAGGGTATGTACATTGATAGTTATGAGAGAGAGGACATTATCACATATCAAAGAGAATTTTTAGAAAATATGAAGCTTTTAGAAAGATGTATAGTGAAATATGAAGGAGAACAAATGGTGCCAATTCTACCAGTACTTGAAGTTAATGAACAGAAACTAATTTTAGTCACTCATGATAAGTATATCTTTTATATGAATGATGGAAAGAGAAATGTTTGGGTTTTGGATAAAAATATGCTATTATGAAAAAAAAAGAATGAAAGATCTATTATGGTGAGTGAATTCCTTTTAGAAACATGTGGTTGGTTACAACTAAGTGAAGAAGAAATAAATGCTTACCCAGATATTCCTATGGAGGCACATTGTTATCTTGTACCTGAAAAAAACCAAGAGAGTTATTGAACAATTGAACATTTGCTTGAGCAAATTAGAGATAAGGCCATTCCTATTTTTGAGACAAAATTCCCTAATGCAATCACTATTTTTGCATTCGATAATAGTACAAGTCATGTTGGATATGCGAAAGATGCTCTTTTGGCAGAAAGAATAAATCTGGGACCTGGTAGAAAACAACTGGTAATGTGACAAACTACCTTTATTGATGCTAATGGAGTACAAAAGGTACAAAAATTGGTATTTGAAGAGAATTACTCTAATTTAGCCATACGATAAAAACCAAAAAGAATAAGAAAAGTATTGAAAGAAAGAGGACTTTGAAAAGAAAGGTTAAATCTAGACTGTCAGCTGTGTAAGAATAAGAAATTGAAAAGGGATCTTTTGCGAATGAGCTGCTGTCTAAAAAGAATTATGGCTACCTAACTAGAGTTTGTTGTCCAAAAACCAGTTATTGTAAAGTTAATTGAGAATGCTAGTCATATATGTGTTTTTTATCCAAAGTTTCACTGCGAACTTAATTTTATTGAAATGTACTAGGGAGCAGCCAAAAACTATACAAGAAACCACTATGACTATATATAAGAAGGTTTGCATAAAACTGTTTCACAAGTGCTTGATTCAGTAGATATTATTACAATTAAAAAGTTTGCTTAAAAATTATAAAGATATATGAAGTTGTATTGTAAGGGATTAACAGGTAAATTAGCTGAATATGCATGTAAGAAGTTCAAATCACATAGACAAATTCTCCAGGATGAATTAGCTTTGTTTATAAAGAATAATGATTAGATACAGATATTTTTTTGTATATATGAAATAAATGTAAAGTAAGCTTTTAAACAAATAAAAAGCAAAGCGATTAAAGCAATAATAATAATAATTTATTGATATATTATATTAATAAGTAATGATAATATACGGTATTGTACAGTTTATAAAAATATACTTTTATTAAAATGTAAATCTAGTATTCATGTAATATTGTATAATTACTAAGATTAAATTCAAATTAAACTTTGTGAATTGTATTTACTAATATTTTATTTATAATATCTTTGTATTATTAGGATGTAAAAGTTCAGTTTGGTCTAGTAATATAAACTTAAATAAATTGACTTATGAAATCTCAAGATTTTTAATAATTTTTGCTCTATTTAAAAGGCTGGTAATTGTGCATAAGTTCATTAAAACAAGTTTGAAAGAGATTTCATTATAATAAAAATAAATTGATCATATCAATTATAAAATTATTATTAAATTTCTGTAACAAATTTTTTTCTGCAGAGTAATCACCAAAAGTGCAGGTTTGTAATAATGTGTTAATTATAATATCATCATATAACTCACACTTTTGGTAGTTGCCTTGGCTAATTTACAAATTTCTGCTTTTATAATTCTAAATTTAGTTATGCTTTATTGCAATTATTTTAATTATCAAACAATATTTTTGAACACTGGTAAAATTTAAGGTTTCACTATATTGAATAGCATGATTCGAATAATACTTTTGATGTTAGTTTGAATAGTATTCAAATTATACCATTCAATATGGTAAAACTTTAATAATTAAATTTAATTAAGTTTATATCTCTAGTCTGGTCTGACTTGATTCCAAAAGTTGAGTTGTTATTAAAGTTTAGTCTAAAGTCAAACTTGAAACTTGACTCACATTTGTACATGCATCTAATATGTTAATATAACAGAAGAAATGTGTATATTTAAATATACAAAGCATATATGCAGATGCAAGTTGAGTTCCAAGCTTGATTTCAAACCAAACTTTAATAAAAATTTAACTTTCAGAGTCAAGTCAAGATGTTTAATATTTGTTATATAGCCAATCAAATTACAGAAAATCTGGTTAATTAAAATGCAGAAAATTAAAAATACCAAAAATCAACTTTTTAGATGATTTGAATTTTTGAATATCAAAATAGAACACTTTTATCTCTAAGTGTTCCACACTGTAGAAAGGCTAAAACATTGGTTAAAACTAATAAAATAAAGGATACATATTCTAATATCGATAATTTTAGGTTTTCTAATAATTGGTTAAGTGGATTTTTGTACCATAATGATCTGTCATATTGCTGATACACAACAATTTTTCAACATCTTTCTGAAGATCTTATTGAACTACAAAGTAAGTTTTTGAGCTTTGTTTTGTTCAAATGTTATCAATACAACTATGACATTTAATATATTGGAAATATGGATGAAACATTATTGTCATTTGATTTGCCTTATTCAGTAACTCTCAAAAAACATAATACTAAAACTGTAAGCATTTGAACAACTGAACATAAAAGGACATCTTTTATTGTAATTTTGAGATGTTTTGCAGATAGAAGGAAGCTTTCTACAATGTGCATTTTCAAATTAAAAAACATTTTCTGTGAAGTTTTTCCTGAAGGTGTTATTATTTATGTAAATGCAAAAGAGTGGTGCAATGAAGAGAAGATGCATTATTAGATTAATAATATATGATCTAAATGTAGTAAAATAGGAAATTCTCAATCTCTTCTTGTTTTGAATTTGTTTAGAGGTTATACAAAAGATTCTGTTAAAAGTCATTTTCAGAAAAACAATACATATCTTGCAGTTATTTCTGATAAACTAACCAGTAAATTGTAACCTTTTGATGTTGCAATCAATAAATGTTTCAAGGAAAAGGTACAATATATTAATTTTTTATTTTAGTTTTAATCAGCAATAAATTTTTAATTAACAGATATGCTTTTATTATAATGAATAAATGATTAATAATCCTTATCAATTTACCTCTACTGAATGTATTAAAAAGCCATTATATTTCAATTTAGCTTAATGGGTAGGAGAATCATGGAATGAGATTGATCCTTGTTTAATTAGAAAATCATTTAAGTGTTGTGGTATTTTAGTAGAAATAGATAGTTCTGAAGATAACTTGATGTTCAATTATAAAATTTTGGGAGAAGATTTAACAAGCATAAATGAAAAAAACATTAAAGAGAAGTCAGATTCTGATAATCTTAATAGTGAAGAGTATAAAGAAACTAGAGGTAGTAACGATTGGGAATAAAAGACTAATTTTTGTAATTTTTTTAAATAAAGTGATTTGTTGTTAATGTTTTATAAAGTGTAGTGATAGAAAAATGTGCATTTTATAATAATATGTGCATTAATATGCATGATATTGCATGATATAAATTCTTTTTTTTCTGTTTTATTTCAAAAAAAATCATTATGTTTTTTGAATTTTGGTCATGCCTTGCTTGTCTTTGAAGTTTATTCATTTTCTTTAAGATTTTTGTAACTTTTTAAATTTCTATCTTTTAAATTTGCTTGGATTATGTTCTCTGGTCTGAATTATATAGCCTAACAAAAACATATATAAATTCTTGATAAGCAAAAATGTGCATGTTTCAGATATCATATGCATGCATTATACCTATTGTTAATCAAATGTAATGTTCAATATGAAAAATATGCTACTAGTAAAATTTAAAAATTCACTATGTTAAATAGCAGTTTGAGTGGCATTTGAACTGTATCATTTAACATAACTAATTTTTAAATTTTACCAGTAATGTATTGAATTATAATATAGTGATCATGCATGAAATAATTAAAAAATTTTATAATACATTGTTGAGTTTGCTATATTAGATATTGTTGAACAATAGTTCTTAATTTTGTTATATGTATTTGCTCTGCTAATAAATTTTTACTAATCATAATTCATTTTAAAAAGCCAGTTTTTTATAACTTTATGTATATTATAATTAATATGTGACAATGTATTATTTGAAGATATATCTTATATCTGGGTATAAGTTACAAACTGGCACTTCAAACTGGTAAGAGGTACACTATATAGGGAGGTACCTGGGTCTGATTTTAATAATATTTTTTTTAATTTTTTAACTTTTATTAATAACTTTATTGATAATATAATTCTATAAACTATTACAGAAAAAGTATACAATTAGTTATATATGTAATTTTTTTATATTATCTATTTAAAAAGTTTGTTAACTATTTTAAAATTGCCATTAAATTTTTACTTTCACATGATCATCCAATAATGTATTTTATTTTAATATAATGTTACATAATCAGAAAGATCAAAACAAACATTTATTTTTTAAAAATTGCTTATTTTTTAAAAACTTGTATAAAAAATCATCTTCTAAGCTTTAACAAAAAAAATTTTCAAGTGATTTTACTATTATTTTACTAAAACTTAGTTTTATTATAAATACTAATCTTAAATAAATTTAAAAAATTTTAATGATAGTTATGTGAAATTAAAAATTTTGATGATAATACTAAAGAAAATAAAGTCTGTTTAAAGGTTCTTTACTAATTGTCATATCTAATACTCTTGCTTAGATGTTTTATTTTAAACTCTTTAAACTTGTATTTGTGTTAACATTACTGAGACAAGTTTAGGTTATTATTTTAATCTTAAAACTATTTTATTTTTAAAATAAACCTTTTGAAGCCTTTTACACTTATTTTTATAACTGATCTAATATTGCTATAACAGAACCAATACTTATAGTCAGAGTTATATTATTTAACTAATATAATTTTGTAAAGTTTACTCAATTCCTAGCATTTACTTTACAGTATATTTCTGATACTTTAGTATATTTTTATTTTTTTATCAGACTTCTAATTCAGATAGCTTATATAAGACTACAATCAGTTTATCAATATATCAAATTAGCTCAATATCTTTTTCTTCTAGCTTGTTTTAGCAGTCTAGTTAGTAATACCTCTGAGACTTCCAACTTAGAGGTTTTAAATCATTCAGATACTATAACCTTGGTATTTATTTTCTAAACCTAATTTTTATAGTAGCATTATTAAAGATCTATGCTAATTTTTTATTTAGATTTTTTCAAATAGACTTCTTGTTTCTTAATTTTAACAAATTTATATAGCTATAAGAACTTATCTAGAGTTTATATTACTTAATGCCAGTTTGCATTTTTCTGTATAATATTATACTTATACAGATATTCTATAACTTAACAGGTATGCTAATGTGATTACTATTACAGATATTCTAACCCTAATTATTAGAAACAGTTGCTATAATATAAATATTACATAAATGATTATTCAAATTTTTATTATCAATAGGATTTGAACATCTAACTTACTATTTAGAGAGTTGACAACTTATTTACTTTACTAAG